CCAGGACCCTGGAATCGTGACCTGAGCCGAAGGCAGGCGCTTCACCACCTGAGCCACCCAGGCGCCCCTTATTTCCTTTTCTTGTCGAAGTCCAGCTAGGACTTCCAATACCATGTTGAATGAAAGCGGTGAGAGCGGGCATCCTTGTCTTGTTCTGATCTTAGAGGAAAACCTTTCACATTTTCATTGTTGAGTATGATGTTAGCTGTGGGCTTGCTATATGTGGCCTTACTATATTGAGGTATGTTCCCTCTATACCTACTTTGTTGAGAGTTTTTATCATAAATGGATGTTGACTTTTCTGCTTTTTCTGCATCTATTGAGATGGTCATATGATTTTTATCCTTCATTTTATTGATATCGTAGAGCATACTGATTGATTTGCAGATATTGAACCAGCCTTGAATCCCTGGAGTAAATCCCACTAGATCACGGTACATTCTCCTTTTAATACATTGTTGAATTTGACTTGCTTATATTTTGTTGAGGATTTTGTGTCTGTGTTCATCAGGGATATTGGCCTCTAACTCATGTTTTTTATGGTCTCCTTGTCTGGTTTTTGTATCAGGGTGATGCTGATCTCATAAAAGGAGCTTGGAAGCATCACCTCCTCTTCTATTTTTTTTTGGAAGCATTTTTGAGAAGGATTAATTAATTGTTTTTTGAATATTTGGTGGAGTTCACCATGGAAGCTGTCTGGTCCTGGGCTTTTGTTTGTTGGGAGGTTTTTAATACTGATTCGATCTCCTTACTAGTAATAGGTGTGTTCAGATTTTCTATTTCTTCATGATTTAGTCCTGGTAGGGGAGGGAGATTTATTCCAACCATGCCTTTTAGAATTTATGTAATAAGTTATTCATTTATCCATCGCCTCGGTGGAAAGTACAGGCCTAGAGACCAATAAAAAGAGCAGGGTACTCCATCCTCCAGGAGCTTACAGTTTGTCCAGAGGTCTTTTTTTAATAATAAATTTTATTAAAAGATTTTATTTATTTGAAAAAGGGAGCCCAAGGTAGGGAGGAGCAGAGGGAGAAGAAGAAGCAGACTCCCTGCTGAGCAGGGATTCCCAGTGTGGGGGGCTTGATCCCAGGACCTTGGGATCATGACCTGAGCTAAAGGCAGACGCTTAACTGACTGAGACACCCAGGCGCTCCTAAAAATAAATTTTTTTGAATAACTGATATATTCACATGGTTTAAATGTCAACAATCAAAAGAGAAAAGGTAAAGAGTCTCCTCCCCTGATCTTCCAGCCATCTAGTTCCCTGCTCAAGAGATAACTACTGTGGATAGTGTCTTCTGTCTCTTTCTGAAGACATTCTGTCCATGTTGTTCAGTGGCTCTTAACAGGGCCCAGGGAGGTGGAGCTAATCAGGACAGTGTGGGGAAGATTTCCTAAGGGTACATGGCTGCAGCCATCAGGCGATGGGGTCAGGGAGGACCGGCAGGCAGAGAGATTCTGAAGAGGATTCCCAGAGGGCTTGGGCATAATCCCTGCTTCCAGCCCCAGCCACGGGTCTAGCTAGACAGGCAAGATATTTACATGTGGGAATGGACATAGTAGTTCAAGATTTCACTACAGGTGAAGGTCACATTCCTGGTATAGCCAGACAGTGCCCGCCCCCAGAGGAGCAAGACAGCCGCAGTGGGTCTGCCGTGGCTGGGTGGGGCTTTAAGAAAGGTTACTGTCTTTGGGCACCTGGGTGGCTCAGTTGGTTAAGCGTCTGCCTTCAGCTCAGGTCATGATCCTGGGGTCCTGGGATTGAGCCCCACATTGGGCTCCCTGCTCAGCGGGGAGCCTGCTTCTCCCTCTCCCTCTGCCTGCTGCTCCCCCTGCTTGTGTCCCTCTCTCTCTGTCAAATAAATAAAATCTTTTTTAAAAAAAAGAAAGGTTACTGTCTTCAACTTTTCTGGGCCTCCTTGTTCCTCATTTATGAAACCCCTAAATTAGGGTTTTAAACTTTTTTTTCCTTGAACCCCTGTAGCAGTCTGAAAGAACCCATAGACTTCTTTAAATGTGTACATGAAACATGCAGGATTATAAATGTAAATGAATGACACTGAAATATGGTGGTTTCCTCACTTGGTGGCCCCAGGGTAGTCCCAGCGCACAGAGACTCCTGCTCTGAGAAGGGCCACGGCCAGGTTCTGGCTCCCATGGACTGCTCTGCATCTTGGCACTGCTTGGGGTCTGGTGGTGTTCACTAGGAGAAGCGGGTGGGAAAAAGTCCCTCTGAGGCTGCTTTGCAAAGAGTCAAATGAACAATCCCTTTCTCCCCATAATTAGCTTCCCTTCTGTCTACACAGGGCTCCTTTCCTAACTGAAGATGACTAGGTTTGTCCTGTGTTTGGTTTCCCAAAGGTGGCAGCATTGTTCTGGGATACAGAATCCCAGCCGCCTGGGTGGCTGCCCGCACAGCCCTGCTTCTGTAGCCCAGTGGAAAATTTCTGAGTCGGCCTGCATGGGTCTTACCCGTGTTTACTGTCTCCTCCCTGGTCACCGGAGTCACAGCCTTGGAGGTGGACCGTGGCCTGCCAAGCTTCTGTTCCCAGCGTGTGGTGGGCCACTAGGCCTCACAGGTGCATGTCTCAGGGCTGGCCTGCCAGCAGATGCAAAAGAAAGTTAGATTCCTGCAGTTGACTTTTTACCCTCCTCCTCCCGGTGTTTGGTATGGGGGCTCTGGAGGGAGGTCAGTGTTTTAAGCGATGGAGTCTTGGGTGGCTTAGGCCAAATTTTTTCTTTGCAAATAATTCAGCATTGGAGTTACTCCTTCTGATGTGTGTGTTCATGTGGGCTGCAGTTAGTACCTGAACTGTAATCGAAGCAGTCGATTTTTAAGAATCTACTAGAAGCTGAAATTGCCTTCAGCATCAGAAGGGCCTAGTTCACATGTCATTGAAAGTTTCTAAGCAAGTGAGTGAAAAAGTGCCTCCAACCCAATTAAATGACTCATAATTCCCATCAAGTGCACCCAGTGGGGTTTATGTGGGGGACCTCAGCAAAGGACGCCAGAAGGTAGCTGGAGCCTGCTGGAGTTTGTGTGGCATTTAACTCTGTGCTCACTGCATGTCATTTCATCTAGACCCTATAACAGCCCCATGAGAGCACTGTTACCATCCGTTTATCCACAAGAAAGGCAAGGTGCAGAGGTGGAGTGATTCACCCAGCTGGAGGGCAGATCTGGGATTCGAAACCCAGTGGGCAAGCTCCAAGCCCCTGTTTCCTATGCCTTCCTGGAAATGGGCATCTGGACAGCTTTTTAAAAATTGTTTTTGTCGATTTATTTTTATAAACCCATGATTTATTTGTTTATTAGTAACTCTATACCCAAGGTGGGGCTCAATCTCGTGACCCTATGGTCAAGAGTCTCATGGTCCTCTGACTGAGCCAGCGAGGTGCCCCATATTATTTATTTAATATGTGTGAAACATTGCTATAATTTGCATTTCTTTGAACACTACTGAGATTGAAGTTATTCATGTGTCTATTTTTTTAAATTGTAATAAAAATATATAACATAAAGTCTATCATTTTAACCACTTTTAAGTGTAAGTTCAGTGGCACTAAGTACATTTACACTTTCTTGCAACCATCACCACCATCTATTTCTAGAACTTTTTTGTCACCCCCAAACAGAAAGTGTCTAGCCATCAAGCAAGAACTGCTCATTCCTCCAACACCCCCCCAGCCCCTTCATGAATCTACTTTGTCATTATGAATTTGCCTAGTCTAGGTATTTCATATAAGTAGAATCATCCAGTATTTGTCCTTTTTGCCTGGCTTATTTGACTTAGCATGCCGTCTTCAGGGTTGGTTCATGAGGTAGCATGCCTCAGAACGTTATTCCTTCTTGGTTGAATAATGTCTCATTGTTTTGTCTGTCTGTTGATGGAGTTTACACCTGGTCGGCTTTTCACACAAAGACAGGACCTTACAACTACTCACTCCTGTTCTGGGGATACTTTCTGAACCCTGGCAAATTTGTGTTTGTCCCAGGTCGGGGGTGACCCTCCACTGTGTGTGGTTAGAGGTGCTGCTGAATTTTTTAAGGTAACTAGCCTTGGTCTATTTAAAAAGATCAAGAGGGGGGCGGTGTCTGGGTGGCTCAGTCAGTTGAGTACCCAACTCTTGATTTTGGCTCAGGTCATGATCTTAGGGTCATGAGATCAAGTCCCGGGTCCGGCTATGCACCGAGCGTGGAGTCTGCTTGTCCCTCCCCCTCTGTTCCTCACCCACTCACTCCCTCTCTCAAATAAATAAAATTTTAAAAAGAAAAAAAAACCCAAAAAGCTCAAGAGGAGCACTACGGTTGCTCTTGTGCCAACACCAATTCTAATTAGGTTCTTTCCCTGTCCGTTCTGTAGACAGATAGCGTCAGAGGGGTCCGCAGGGGTTGTTTACTTCTAATCCTCTCCTGTAGATGGAAATTTAGCTCGTGTTCGAAATTCTCCAGGGTAGCCACCCGGGAGCCCCAAGTCTCGGCTGGGGGACCCCGGGCAGGCCATGTCTATCTGGCTTCAGCGACTGTATCTGTAAAATGACATTAAAGTCCTTCTTAGAGATTATGCGTCCTTCCCGGACAGGTTAAGAAGTTCCTTTCTAATTCTACTCTGGGTTCTTCCTTCTACTTGTATGTTAAGCTTGTGCCTCTCTCCTTTTTGAGAAGCCACTGGTCAGCGTCCCGCCGCAGTAACCCCACGTTCCTGTGATGAGATGACAAAGCCCACTCCCGGGGTGCAAGGCCCCCCACCCTTTGGGTTGTTGTGTGATAGGGGCGCCCTTCCCTCCTAGCAGCCTTTCTCTGAATGCCTGGAAGCGCTGGGTGGCCTGGGGAAGTGAGATTTGTCTTTCTGGATGAACTGCCCCCTCTGTCATTGCCAGGAAATCGACGATGCTCGTGGCTGGCTACCTGTTTACTCAGCCGCGGGAGAGGAGAAAATCCATGCTGCCTCAATATCCTCTGAGGCACTAGGCCGCTTACGGCCAATTTTCTTTTTCAGAGCAATAAATCTGAGGGACCCCGTGCTGCAGCAGGTGCTGGAGAGGAAGAATGAGGTCCTGTGTGTCCTGACACAGAAGATAGTGACGACGCAGCCGTGTGTGATATCAGAGCACACTCAGATAGAGGAGAAGTGCGGCGGCATGGTGGGGATCCAGACCAAGACAGTGCAGGTGTGCGCAGGCGCGGCGTGTGGGCTCAGTGGCCTCTCTGGTCCCTGTCCTCAAGGCGGGGGGCAGGGGCCTCTTTGGGGGTGTCTTCATTTGTCCAGACTCTTCTGTAGTGAGCCAATAGAAATCCACTTCAAATTGGCTTGAACGAGAAATAATTTATTGGCTCTGTAACTGAAACGTTCAGGGTCGTCTGGCTTCGCTCACTGCTAGTTCGAAATTCAGAATTGCGGAAAGCCGCGTGTGCCGCCTTCCCTGGGGGTAGATCACCCTCAGGTGGGCGCTGTCCTGGTGGTGCGGCTCTCGGCCCGCCTGCTGCCACCCCGGGGGAGAGTGTGCTCAGGGTTGGCTCTCGCTGGACCATCCCTGGTTGTACCCTTCGGGAGAAGCAGACCCGAGGCCAGGGCTACAGGGCCCTGATAATGGCCACGCGGGCTTGGTCACGGGGTTCCCCAGAGAAAATGGGTCAGAGGAGTACTGACCGCATCAATGCACAGGTATCCGCCAGAGCCCCTCGGAGCCAGGGGTCTCAAAATGATTACTTTGAAATCAACTGCCTCCCATCCTTCGTGGACTGAGTGAGGGAAGGTAAAGAGCAGTGTATGTGTCTATATACACACAAACAGAAGCTTCTGGATTAAAATAGAGACAGTCTTATCAGGCTGATCCCTGAGCCAGAACTGAACTTCTGTGGAACAAGAGGCTACCAACCCCAGACTGTTTCCTCCACAGCTTGCCATGGTGCCTGATGTCCTATTCTTAGACATTTGCTTCCCGGGGTGCCTTTTGGCTTTTGCTAGAGGACCCGGGAAAGTTGTATTTGGAAGGAAGTGGAGACAGAGGTCCGGTCTGCAGCTGGACTCCCCCTGGGGCAGTGATGAGGGAGGTGCCTGACAGGAGACAGCTTTGGCCGGCCCTGCCGGTGTTTCTGCCCGTGGTGGACCCCCCACTGCAGGCCTGGTGCCTGCCTGGGAATCAGGAGGCTGGCTGTCCTCACACCAACTGGGATCAAGTTGCTAAAAGGAGTCTCTGATCTCCAGTGTTTAGGCAACGATCTTCTCCCTAGGCCATCATGGGAAAGGGTCACGTTTGTAAGGAGAGAGCTATGGTGCCTGACTGCTTGGCATTTCCTGGCAATCCTCCTCTCCTCCCTCCTGCCCCCCCCCCCCGCATTTGTTTAACACACAGTGTGCTGTTGACAGGAGTCTGGAATGATGTCCTTTTGGGGGCTCCTCGCTCTTAGCTTAGTTCTTCCAGTCAGGCTTTGACATTGTTTGGATTTTCATCATTGTCCGGGATGTTGAAGTGGTTACCCTAATCCTCTGTGAGGGAAGTGAGAAGTTACCCTATTTATCTTCTTTATTCAGTACCATAGACCTAGCCTCACTGTTGCCCACACTCTGGAATCCCGCTTTTGTGTCCCCACTGAAGTTTGCTCATTGACTCCCAATGTGTGCACTACATCATGAGGCCCACAAGGAGAAAATCCTTACGTCTGCTGGCCGGCTTCTCTTTTCTACTCCATCCCTTGGGCATTTGACAAATGCCCCTCGTGCTCAAGGCCCTAGGCCGACCGTGGTGGGGAGGCAGAGAGAAGCCTGGGGGAGGCTGAGCACACAGAGGGCATCATGTACTCTCACTCACAGGTGTCCGCAAAGGAGGATGGGAACATCATCAAGGACACCAACGTGGTGCTGGAGATCCCTGCTCCCACTGCCCTCGCCTATGGCATCGTCGAGTTGTATGTGAAACTGGACGGCCAGTTCGGTGAGTGCTGCCTCCTGCTCTGGGTATTAGAGGAAAGAGAGGGGAAGCGTGGGGGGTGCCCCAGGACACGGGGGCAGGTGGGCTGCGTTGGGAGGACATCGGGCTGGGCGAGCTTTCACCAGCATGGCACAGGGTCAGCAATGTGGGCTGTGCCATCAGAAGACCGGGTCTTAGCCCTGGTGCCGTGGCATCCCGTGGGGCCTCGAGCAAGTTGTGGGTGTCACTGAGCCTTGACTCCCCATGTCTGGAGGGGGAGAGACATTCCGTCGCGGAGCTGCGGTCACGGTTAAATGGGATGAGCACACCAAGTGCCTGGCGCAGTGGTTTATTACGTACTCTGTCTCAACTCTTAGTCGTACTGTCCTCAGCGGCATCTCACCTTCTGTCCCCCGCGGTGTGAAGCCAAAGACATGACACTTGACCTTGCTCTGCTGATCACCAGTGTTCAAAGCTGGGAGATCCTGGTCATTGCATCATATGAAGAAAATACGGGCTTTTGCTTTGCTCGTGTCTGCGGACCTTAGATGCTTACGGCCCCTCCCTCATGCTCGTCCTGGGAGGAGGTTGTGTCGAGCCCAAGAAAACTGACCGCTTCTGGGGGCCAGGAATGAATAAATGTAACATAATGATTGACTTGTTAAGGCATGGTGATGTCATAGTTATGTTTATAAAAAAGAGTCTTTGTTTTTAGAGATTTATACTGAAGTCTTCACAGATGAAATGGTAACACGTCTGTGGTTTGCTTCAAAAATGATCTGGGTGAAATGTAATGTGTGTGTGCATGGGGTCCGGAGAGGTAAAGAGCGATCGTCAGAGCTGGTCAGTGGGTATGTGGAGGAGGTTTATTATTCTGCTCTATTCTTGTGCCATTTCACCTTTTCCATAATGAGGAAGTTTTAAAAGGGGTGCCATAATAGACCATGCACATATCTATTGTGGTCTCCTGCTTCCCCCCCCCCCCCCGCTTTGTTCTCTGTGAGGGTTGGGAGGAGAACGTTGTCCAGGAGTCAGCCTTTTGTGTGCACTTGGCTCACGCGGGGTCACCATGCCATGGAGCCACAACTACAGGCACTCAGAACGTGGACCGTCCCCACGGGACAGTCACAAGCTCCTGGGCCATGTGAGACATGGGATGCAGTGGCAGAGACTCCCTCTTTCTTTTCCCACGTGGAGCAGCCTGCCTTTCATGGAGGTGACGAAGAGTGAGGGTGTCAGTTTGAAGAAGCTGGTCTGGAGAGGTTGGTCAGGGGCACATGAAATGCCAGGAATATCAAGAATCATGACCTACAGGCTTTAGGCCATGGTTACAAATTTGTGTCATCGGCATTATTATTTTATTCTGTCTCTTTGGAAGACCTCTGTGGGGATTAAGAGGATTATTAAGAGGATTCAGTTGTCCCTCCTGTTTTTATTATCAGCATGTTACCACATGCATGTACATGACTCCAGACTAAGATGTTTAGGCCTGGTTATCCTGTCCAGACGGGTTGGCACTTATTTATAAGCCTCTTGAAAGCTTGGCCTGCACCCGAGGCTGCCCATGAGTGCTCTGAGGACCTTTGGTGGCTGGGGACCAGCCTGGGGCTGCCACTCAAGGTTGTGGCCCCTGCGGGGAACCCCTCCCTGTTTCTCCGAGGAGGTGGCCGCATCCTGCTCTGCTTGCAGCCCTGTCGGGGGCACCTGTCACTCCCATGGGGAACCTCTCTTTTCTCAGACGGGGTTGGAAAGACATAGCCTTGCGTGGTGTGGCTCCTGTTTGCATTTCAGTTTCAAGCCTTTTATCTTGGCTGGCTTCTGCTGTCTTTGAAAATAAACTCCTCTTTGTGCTGTGGAGAAGAGGTGCCCGGGGAGGGGAATTCTGGAGGTTCTTCTGGCTCCCTCCCCACGCCCTGGCCTAGGAAGCCCCGCTTCATTGCTCTTTCCTGCTGCCGACTGTCATGCCTGTGCAGCCTGGTGGCTGGGCTGACATTGCTTGTGACTCACTGCCTAAATCTTAAGCCAGTTCTGCTTTTTTCCCATTTTCCTATCTGTGTTTTCTGTTGCTCTTGCCACAGAATATTCTGATCTGGCTTCATAAACATAGACCTGCAGGGGCCAGAAGGGCCCTTAAGAGGCTGCCTGGTCTCCTCCCACCTTTTGGGAGGAAATATGCGTGACAACAATCCTGTTTGTCCTCTGAAACTTTAAGCAGAGGCTGACTCCCTCTGTGTCCCTTGGGGGAGGCACCTGTGCGGCCTGTCCTCACCAAGAGATTCTCTCAGCCATGACCCCTTCCTTCACCAACAGCTCCTCCTCATAGCCAATCAGAAGCATCACTTTATGGGCTTGAACTTTGCCTTGTGCCTTGTATAATCAGGCAGTATGCCACCGTCCTTCCAGCGTGTCCTTCTGATTGGATGCCCCGTGGACAGGAGCCTGCGCTCCCCACCCTGCCTGGGCCTGTGCCCTTCTCGGCTGGTCTGTTGGCCCCGAAAGCATCTCCCTACTGGGTCCCACCGCACACTCTTAATTGGCTCCCCTGCTTCTCTGAACCTTTCCCCATCTGTTCCGTCTCAGCAGTATAGCTAATGTGATTATTTAAGAATAAAAATTTGGTCACTTCACATATCTGCTTAAACACCCTTCCAAGACTCCCTTTGACAGGTGCGTTGTGACCCAGCCCCAGGATTTGTCCAGCCTTCCTCCTAACCTCCAGCTGCTGCGGCTGTCATCAGTTAACCCCCTGACTGGGGACAGTCCTGTCACCTCTTATCCCTGAGTTCTATGATGGCCTGCGTGCTGCCTCTTTGCCTAATTCCTACCGAAACTTTAGGGGGTTCCTTAGACACTGCTTCATCCAAGAAACCTTTTCTAGTTCTCGCTCTGGCTTCAGGGACCTGTCCGCCTCCTCCCACACCATCTATGTTACCTCTGTCCCCACTTGTAACATACTTGTCGAGGCCTGGACTGTAGTCGCTTTGTGTCACTGGCTCCTAGCACAGTGCCTGACACTGAAGAGAATGAAAGAATTGGCAGCATCTTCAGGGGCCCGTGCATGTGTACGGGCAAGAGTGGAGCTGGTGCCAGAGATTCCTAAAATACCAGTTGGCGGCCCTGCCCGGCTCTTGGCAGGATTTGAGACGATGTTAAAGTCATGGTGGCTGTCCTAGAGCAAAGTTATCACCTGAGGGCTGGTTCACATTCATCTGCCTCAGTGCCTGGTGCAAAGGGCAAAGTGAGCCAGGGCTGCTCTGGATGCCCAGTGAGTGTGGGTCATGAGTGAGTAAATGGATTATTTCCTTCATCTTTAGACAGCTATTTGATCTTTTTTTTTTTAAAAAGATTTTATTTATTTATTTGAGAGAGAGAGAGAGAATGAGAGATAGAAAGCACGAGAGGGAAGAGGGTCAGAGGGAGAAGCAGACTCCCTTGCTGAGTAGGGAGCCTGATGCGGGACTCGATCCCGGGACTCCAGGATCATGACCTGAGCCGAAGGCAGTCGCTTAACCAACTGAGCCACCCAGGTGCCCCAGCTATTTGATCTTTTATGTCATTTATGCTCACAAGCAAATAAAAATATGTGCTAATCCTCATGCCTTCCACATTTTTATTCCATAGCCTGTGCTTAAGTACACAAATTATTAATTAGAAGCATCTTATTATTTTTTAAGATTTTATTTATTTGACAGAGAGAGAGGGAACACAAGCAGGGGGAGTGGGAAAGGGAGAAGCAGGCTTCCCGCCGAGCAGGGAGCCCCATGCGGGGCTTGATCCCAGGACCCTGGGATGATGACCTGAGCCGAAGTCAGACGCTTAATGACTGAGCCACCCAGGCGCCCCAATTAGAAACATTTAAAAAAGAACCCTAATTCACAAGTTCACTTACTGTTTTGGCTTATTAAGGACATTATTTTCACATAATAGCTGTTACCTTAGTTGGGTTCTTAACTATGTAAGTATTTAAGGAAACATTTATTTAAAAAACTTTATTATGGAAAATTTCACACATGTTCAAAAGTAGAGATAATAATACAATGAACTCCCATGTACCTGCCATCCAGCTTTAATAACTAGGGTGATTCATGTTTCATCTGTAACTTTACCACCTCACTCCACCCTACTCAATTATTTTGAAACAAATCCTAGGCATTATATTGTTCTGTCTGTAAATATGTCAGTATATCTAAACAGATAAGCTGTTTTAAAAAGACTAGTTTTGCCTTCATATAGATTCATGAAGAATGTATTCATTTGTGTCTGTTTTTTCCCCACTCAACATGTTTGTAAGATTCATTTATACAATTGCAGAAGTTCATTTTTTATTCTGTATTAGATTTACTAATGAAAAGACTTTAAAAATACAACTACATACCACTTGTATACTTATATTATCAATAATACTTTAATATTATCAGTTCAATCAAATCAAATTTATTAATCACATTTAAATTTTTTGTTTCATACATGATGAGTTGTGTAAGATCTGGTTTTGTTAAGAACAAAACCACAGGCCCCAAATGGTGTCACTTTAACATTTACGTAGTTGAATTTTGTTATTTAACTGTTTGTTCAAATCAGGCTAAGGAAATACTTCCGTTTGAAAGACTGCTTCCTCCCTCTTCAGAGGGGACACACTGGAGAGCTTTATGTTGAGAACAGCCATTTCTCCTGTAACTGTAGGAAGAGGCTGAGTTTTCATCAAATAGCCTAACGTGTAGGAAGTGGGTTTACGGGATCAGAGTACATGTGTCCTCCACCCCCTTCCCCATTAGGTAAAGCTGGGTCTGATGTGTGCTAACAAGGCCTGGCTAACCCTGTGCCTGGCTTGTCCTTTTCTCCCACATTACAGAATTCTGCCTCCTACAAGGGAAGCATGGTGGCTTCGAGCTTGAGAGAAGTGGCTCTGTCTTCATGGACCCTCTGCCCTTTCAAGAGTTTGCATTTGGGGACATGCCAGATGCCGGGCAGGGACCATCTGCCTTGGATTGGCCATTGAGTGTTTTAAAACAAGGTATTGCCAGCAGGGTGGGGTGTGGTGAGCTGATGGCTACTTGCACTGCACTGCAAGAGGTGATGTGGCCTTCATGAGCGAGGACTCCTTAGAGACTTAATGGAGAACAGAAAGGACAGTGCCTCCAAGTCGGACGTCGTCCACTCAGCAGGATGCACCTCAGCGGGATCTTAGGGAACCTCAGGTCTTAGGTGCCCGGCTTTGAGGAAGGGGTGGAAGACTGAGGACTGAGAGGGCATTTTCTTTCATTTTAACCACAGAAGCCTTGCATTCAAAATAGCTAGTCAGCAACAAAGAGAGGGAACCCCAAATTTGCATCTGTTTCGTGATATTCCAGCCTTCACTGCCAACACAGGCAAGGCTTTGTCAGCATTTCGAAATGCTCTCTTGGGGGCTCTCTGTCCACATGGATTGAAGCACTGCGGTGCCATGGCATCCGGGGAGGAGGAGGGGAGTACCTGGGACGTGCCTGCAGCAGCTCCTTTTATTCCCCGTAGCATGCTGTGTTTTAAAAAATGGGCTTTTCTCGTGGTGCTATGGGCGGTGGGGAGCGTAGTATATGGCAGGAGAGGAAACAGGCAAGAAAAAGGTGAAACACACAATCAGGAAAGACCTTGGTAAAAAGAGCTAGGAGCAGCTCAGGATATGGTCTGGCTGGGAGGATAAGAAGATTCTTCCCTGTGGGGCTTTGGTGAGTCCCAAACCAGAAGATGCTTCTGTTTCTGTAGCGAAAGTGCCAGCATTGGAAGAAATGGCAAGGAAGGCCCAGTCTTAAGATGGGCGTCCCCATCCACTGCTTCCTTGAGATGGCTGATTGGGTGTGACGTCCAGCTGCCGTTTCAGCACTGCCATGGGTTAGAACCACAGCAGAGTGGCCCCGCAGCCTTGAACTGTGCTACAGGGAAGTGACGAGACAGGTCGTGGGCTGCAGCTTCCTTGTAATTTCCTCTCCCACCAGTCCACCCTGTCTGTTGGCCATTCTAGTCAGCCTGGGGTGGAGTGGGATGGCTGGGCCTGTGAAACAGGAGTAGGATGGGGGGCAGCCTGGCCTTTGTGCCCTCAGGCCAACCAGGAAAGCTCTTCTCTCCAGGCTGGCGTGGCAAAGACCCAGCTGTGTTCATAGGGAAGTTTTTGAATATGTCAGGGACTGATGTGACCTGTTCTCTCCATGGGGCTGACAGCTGTGTGCTGGAATTTGCCATCAGCAGAGGTGTAGTACATTATGTACTAGTATGCATCCCTGCATATGAAAGCTGTGGTTTATCAAATCTTGCTTTTAAATCCCCATTGGGCTTAATTTACTAGAAGTGTTTCAGTGTCTTTAAAAAAAAAAAAAAAGATTTAAGGAGAGAGCCTCAAGCATCCTGCAGAGGATGTGCATAACCTAGCCAGATGGGCCTGTGTGCCCGTTCTCCAGGATGGGTGAAGAATAATGAGTGGGAAAAGTGGAATGGCTGTGTTTGCCATGAAAACAGGGTGTCAGACTTTGAGAAGCAAGCATTAATATTAAAGGATAAAAAAACTGCACGGTATTAGAAGAAAGAACATGGAAAATAATTGCCTTTGGATTTGCATGGCTGTGGAGACCTGTAAAAGCACTGACTGATGGTTAGTAATTCAGCCTGGATAACTTACTTCTCTAGAAATCATGCTAAAGAGGGGTCTAAATAATTGATCAGACTTTTCCAGAAAGTAGACTTAATGTTTAGTGAGTCATCAGAACAAAAGAGTGAAGTCAGAAGCAGATCTGGGCGGCCCTCTCGCTGGTCTCTTTTCGTCCCCCTTGTTTCTGGTTATTGAAAATGCGCAGGGCGGTAGCCAGCTTGAGGCCCGACTCGAGCTCCACGACTGGCCCTGCTCGGGGAAGTCCCCCGTCCGGAGGTGCGCACAGCGGTCCTGACACGGGGAGCATTCTGTGCCCTCACAGCCACTCTGCTCTTGGAGAAGAACTTCCATCCCTTTGCGGGGCTGCCGGAGCAGCAGCAGACAGCGCTGAGCGACGCCCTCCAGGCCGTCCTGTCTGACGAAGAGTCACTTGTGGCCCTGGAGCAAGTGGTAAGACCAGAGACCTCTCGAGACTGTTTCCACCTGGGTTTCCGGGAGATGTGGGCAGGCTAGACCTCTTGGGATAAAGCCGTGAGCTGGGATAAGATTGTATTTGAAATGTCCCCACCTCCTTTAAACCTTCAAGCTTCTTTTTTTCTTACTCCCAGGTCCTTAGTGTTCTAACCGAAGAAAGGTGGCTGATGTCAGGAATCGAAGGGTAGATTGGTTCCCTAAGGGCTGTTGTAACAAGTTACTACAAACTCTGTGGCTTCGAACAACAGAAATTTATTCTCTTAGGGCGCCTGGGTGGCTCAGTTGGTTAAGCGACTGCCTTCGGCTCAGGTCATGATCCTAGAGTCCTGGGATCGAGTCCCACATCGGGCTTCCTGCTCAGCAGGGAGTCTGCTTCTCCCTCTGACCCTCTTCCCTCTCGTGCTTTCTATCTCTCATTCTCTCTCTCTGAAATAAATAAAATTTAAAAAAAAAAAAGTTTACTTAAAAAAAAAAATTTATTCTCTTAGAGTTCGTTCTGGAGGCCAGAAGTCAGCAGGGCCCTGCTTCCCCCACAGGCTCGGGGGAGGTGGGTGGTGGAGAACCCTTCCCTGCCTCTTGCAGCTTCTGGTGGCTCCTGATGCTCCTTGGCTTGTGGCCACACTGCTCCAGTCTCTGTCTCCCCATGCCTCTGTCCTCTGTGTCAGTGTCTTCCCCTTTTCTCTTAAAGGACACTCACCATTGGATATAGGGCCCACTCCAGTCTAGGAGCATCTCATCTTGAGATCCTTACCTCAGTGATATCTGCAGACTCTTACTCCAAATAAGGTCATACTCTGAAGTTCCAGGTGAACATATACTTGAGGGGCCATGATTCCATCCCACTACATGGGGGCTGTGTGGTAGAGTCCAGTAAGTCAACTTATTCTATTTAGAATAGATTAAAAAGCAGGCCTTTATATTTTTCTGTTTTGTAGCAGAAGAATTTTTTGGGGAGGTTGAATTCCTTAACTATTATTTGTACAAATGGTGAAGGACACACCAGCTGCCAACCTGCCAGACTTTGTACTCTCCTTTGTTAAGGGGGCTGGGGCACTATTAAGATGATTTATATGATAGCTTTTTGTTTTGTTTTATTTTGGTTTTTTTGTTATTCTATTATTCAGAGTTGTTGAACTCTGATTTTCTGATTCAATGCTTAATGGTTTCCAAGAGAGCATTCAGTTATTTTTCCCTCTTGCAATTGGATTGTGCCAAAAGACCTTAGCTACCAGTGATAGAACCTGCAATTGTTGAAATAGTCCAGTAGTCCAGGAGATCTGGGGTGTTCTGGAGGATGTGAAGCTCACAGAAGGGTGTGCTAGCCCCAGGGAGAACACAAATGTTTCAAAAAGCCCACTGATTTATACTTCCTAAAATAGCTCCTTCCAAGAGGGAAATCTCAGACCAGTCCCTTTGGAAAGAACATCAACTGCCCTGTCAGGTGCAGGAGCAAGCTGCTCAGGTGGTGTGGGCTGGCGTTTATTAATGCATCTGATGTGGAGTTACAATGGAGACGAGCTCACTAGGTGGTCCTGAGCTGGCTGAGGTGGCCTTCAGTGGCAGGGCCACCCACCTCCCAGCAGGCCCAACGTGGATGGCTGAGGCTGCCTTGGGCCCAGCTGGGAATGTGGTTGGGGGCTGGTGTGCCAAGTTAAAAGCTGGAGAACCATGATGGGACAATGCTTTTATGTTCCCTTCCTTAGTTCTGCATGTAGTCACCTATTCCTGGTCCCTGGTACAACCTGACAGACCCTGCCTTGTCCTGGAAGGTTCTATCCATAGTTCCCTGCATCCATCCTCCCCTCTCTTTGAAAGAATAGTACCTGGCAAGGCTGTTTATGCTCTCCTTATGAGAGATTAGTGATTTCAAAACAGAAAAGAATGCAGGGTTTTGCTTTTCTTGTGAGATAGCCGAAGGGTAAGCGGTTGCATGTGGTGGGGTAGAGGCTCAGCTTGGCCTCTGGCTTTACTATGTCTGTCTCTTTTCTCCTCTCCCTGCAGTGTGAGGATGTGGTCACCGGCCTGTCGCCCCCACTGGCAATACTGGGGGAGCTGAAGCCCCCACAGCAGCAGGACATCATGGCTTTCCTATGTTTGGTGGGGTACGGAGTACAGGGCGGGTGTCCAGGCCTGAAGGATACACTCAGCAACCAGAAGCTCTTTTCTACGGCCTACTTCTTGGTCAGTGCCCTAGCAGGTATGGAAAAAGAAATGCTGTTGCTGCTTTGAAACTGCTTTGCTTACTATTGTGGAAGATTTGGTACCTGTGGTTTCCTCCCTTTCAGCAGTACAGGGAGGGTAAGTGGAAGGCTGAGGAAGCTTTTATGATTGCCGTGAAGTCAGACTCGTGTGACACCAGCCTCCTCTATTCCCTCGGAGAGCGTGTCTCTCTCCTCCTTCAGGGAGGGCTGTCTGCGGGCACACACCCCCAGCAGCACAGGAAGGAAGGCATCTCCTCAAACACAGCCTGCGGTTCACACTTGAGCCTTGACACTGCTGCGTGGCAGTGGCTTTCATTTGGCAACTGTTCTCTCCCTTGGTGTTTTGGTACCTCTGATCCTCTTTACAAACTTACTGGCCACTTTGTGGCCATTTGGGCAGGGAGACTGTGGAGAGCATCCTGATGCACTAGGATGCTGGGCCCAGTCAACACAGCTTCTACCCTGATCCTGAGATGGCCCTCCCAGGGGCATGGCCATGAAGTTATCACCTACCAGTGGACCCCGCCCTGCCACTCCTCTACCACTGCCATCCATAATTCACCATGCCAGAGGGGCTGGGTTCTCAGAAGGTAGCCACTCCGTGTAGGCTTTCAGTTCCTTCAAGGAAAGGCAAGACCTGGCCCATCAGCCCAGGATCCTTTTCCCCACAACTTCCCTTCCCGGTGATATTATTTGAGGTGTTGAGTTCCGGATGCATTCATGGTTCCTCCCCAGCACCACAGAGGAATAGATGCCAAGCAGATCTTCAGTTTTTTAAAAAATTAATCATAGGGCGCCTGGGTGGCTCAGTCGTTAAGCGGCTGCCTTCGGCTCAGGTCATGATCCCAGAGTCCTGGGATCGAGTCCCACGTCGGGCTCCCTGCTCAGCGGGAAGCCTGCTTCTCCCTCTCGCACACCCCCTGCTTGTGTTCCGGCTCTCGCTGTGTCTCTGTCAAATAAATAAATAAAATCTTAAAAAAATAATAATAACTTGAGCCTCCAAGTGGAGTGGGAGTTGACCCATAACATGAGATTTGCTGTTTCTGAGCTGGAAGCTTGGGGGTAGTGGAATCTTTAAGTGCAGCTGAAAATATCTAGTCAATTTCTGAACCAACAATGCCCTCTTGCATCTCTCTGAATTGATATCTCATTTACATGTTGGTCACTGCAGAGGTCAGATCAGCTTTTTCATTGGAAAGCCCTTCCAATAGTGTTTCTGCTAATCCTCTGCCCTTCTGAGTTGACCTTTCCCTCTTACAAAAACAGTCTTCTCTCTTTAGAACCTGGGGAAAATGCTTGAACAGGAAATGGCCTCTCCTTGAGTCCTGTCTGCAGCTTTCTAAATAATAACACCAGTTACCAGCTCTATAGTGCCTAACTTTTAAAAAAAGATAAAATTTACATCATATTAGTTTTAGGTGTACCACAATTCCATATTTGTATACATTGTAAAATGATCACAGTATGTCTAGTTAATACATAGTTACAAATTTTTCTTTCTTACAGATTCTTATGAGAATTTTTAACATTTATTCTTAGCAACTTTCAAATATACAATACAGTATTGTTAACGATAGACATCATGCTGTACATAACATGCTCATGATTCACTTTTTTAATAGCTGGAAGTTTGTACTTTTAACCACATTCATTCATTTCCATCTTTCCCAACACCCCCACTTGCCTCCTCCTTCTGGAAACCCTCAATCTGTTCTCTGTATCTATGAGCTTTTTTTTAAATTTTTTTATGTTAATCACTGTACATTACATCATTAGTGTTTGATGTAGTGTTCCATGATTCATTATTTGCGTATAACACCCAGTGCTCCATGCAGAACGTGCCCTCCTTAATACCCGTCACCAGGCTAGCCCATCCCCCAACCCCCTCCCCTCTAGAACACTCAGTTTGTTTCTCAGAGTCCTCTGTAAACTTTTTATTTAAAGATTCTACATATAAGTGACATTATATGGTATTTGTCGTTCCCTGACCTTTTTCACTTGGCATAATGTCCTCAGGGTCTGTCCATATGTCACAAATGACAAGATTTCCTTCTTTCCTTCCTTTTTCATGGCTGAATAATATTCCACATTGTATACACACATTTTCTTTATCCATTCATCCATCAGTGCTTCCAAATCTTAGGTATTTTAAGTAATGCTGCAATGAATGTGAGGGTGCATATATATATTTTCTGCAGTTGGTGTTTTTATTTTCTTCAGATACTTACCCAGAAGTGGAATTGCTAGATCATATGGCAGTTCTAGTTTTAAACTCCATACTGTTTTCCATAGTGGCTGTACCAATTTACATTCCTACCAATAGTGCACAAGGATTCCCTTTTCCCCATATCCTCACCAACACTTGCTATTTCTTGTCTTTTTGAAAAATAGCCATTCTAACAGGTGTGAGGTAATATCTCATTGTGATTCTGATTTGCATTTCTCTGATGATTAGTAACATTAAGCACCTTTTCATGTACCTATTGACTATCTGTAGGTCTTTGGAAAAATGTCTATTCAGATCCCTTGCTCATATTGATCAGATGGTTGGGGGTTTTTTGTTTTGCTATTGAGTTACAGGAGTCCTTTTATATTTTGGATATTAACACCTTATCAGAATTATCTTTAAATATTTTTTCCCATTCAATAGGTTGCTTTTTAATTTTGTTGGTTTCCTTCGCTGTGCAGAAGTTCTTTGGTTTGATGTAGTCCTACTTAATTTTGGTTTTGTTGCCTTTGATTTTGGTGATGATTTTTTTGGATTTGACAGCAAATGCAGTCTCAAGTTGCTTATTACCTTTGTTGTTTTCTTCTAGGAGTTTTGTGGTTTCAGGGCTTATGTTCAAATCTGAGTTAATTTTTGTGTATGGTGTAAAACAGTGATCCAGTATCATTCTTTTGATATGGCTGTACAATTTTCCCAGTGCTGCTTACTAAAGAGACTGTCTTCTCCCCATTGTATATTTCTGGCTCTGTGTCATAAATTGGGTTTATTCTGGGCTCTCTATTCTGTTCCATTGATCTATAGTCTGTTTTTATGCCAATACTGTACTGTTTTGATCAGTATAGCTTTGTTATACAGTTTGAAATAAGACAATGTGATGCCTCCAGCTTTGTTCTTCTTTCTCAAGATTGCCTTGGCTATTTATTTGGGGTCTTTTGTGGTTCCATACAAATTTTAGAATTGTTTGTTCTATTTCTGTGAAAAATACCATTGGAATTTTGATACAGATGGCATCCAATCTGTACATTGCTTTGGGTAGTATGGACATTTTAACAATATTAATTCTTCCAATTCATGAACACAGACTATTTTTCCATTTATTTGTGTCTTCTTCAATTTCTTTCATCAGCGTCCTATAGTTTTCAGTGTAGAGGTCTTTCACTTCCTTGGTTAAATTTATTCCTAGGTATTTTATTCTTTTTGATGTAATTATAAGTGGGATTTTCTTAGTTTCTCTTCTGATTATTCATTAGTATATAGAAACACAACAGAGTTTTGTGTATTGATTTTGTATCCTGTAACTTGTCTAAATTTATTTGTTCTTATAGTTTTTTGGTACTTTATTTCCTATATATAGTATCATGTTATCAATAAATAGTGGCGGTTTTACTTCTTTCTTTCCAATTTGGATGTGTTTTATTTCCTTTTCTACCCTAATTGCTCTGGCTAGGATCCTAATACTATATTGAATAAAAGTGGTGAGAGTGGGCATCCTTGTCTTGTTTCTGATCTTAGAGGAAAAGCTTTCTGCCTTTCACCATTAATGATGTTAGCTTTGGGCTTGTCATATATAGCCTTTTTTATGTTGAAGTATATGGTCTCTATACTTTATTGACCTTCTTTTAAATATCATAAATGGATGTTGAATTTTGTCAAATGCTTTTTCTGCATCTATTGAGACAATCATATGATTCTTATCCTTCATTTTGTTACTGCGGTGTATCATGTTGCTTGATTTATGGAAGTTCAGCCATCCTTGCATTCCTGGAATAAATCCCATTTGATCATGGTGTATGAGTCTTTTAATGTACTGTTAAAGTCAGCTTGTGAATATTTTGTTGAGGACTTTTGCATCTATGTTCATCAAGGATATTGGTCTGTAGTTTTCTTGTGGCCTCCTTGTCTGGTCTTGTTATCATGGTAATACTGGCCTTGAAAAAGGAGATTCCAAGAGTTTGAGAAGGATCAGTATTAATTTTTCTTTAAATTGTATTTTTATTTAAGTAATAAGCTTTATGCCCAACATGAGGCTTTAACTCACGACCCTGAGATCAAGAGTCACGTGCTCCACCAACTGGGCCAGCCAGGTGCCCCAGTATTAGTTTTTCTTTTTCTTCTTCTTTTCTCTTCTCTTTCTTTTCTTCCTTCCTTCCTTCTCTTCTTTCTTCTTTTCTTCTCTTTCCCTCCCTCCCCTCCTTCCTTTGGTGGGCAGCAAAGCAAGATTTATTGAGCAACTTATTGAGCGATAGCAAAGTGATAGTAAAAAGCTCCCAAGGAGGGAGAGGACCCAAAGGGGTTGCCCTAATTTTTCATTAAATGTTTTATAGATTTCACCCATGAAGCCATCTGGTCCTGGACTTTTGTTTGTTAGGAGGTTTTTGGTTACTGATTTAGTCTGCTTACTTAAATCCTTGGTCATGGTGAATGATTTTTTTGATGTACTGTTGGGTTCGGTTTGCTAGTATTTTGTTGAGGATATTTGCATTTATGTTCATCAGAGATCTTGGCCTGTAGTTCTCTTTTTTTGTGGTGTCCATCTAAATTTGGTATCAGGGTAATGCTGGTCTCATAGAATGAATTTGGAAGTTTTCCTTCCTTTCCTATTTTTTGGAATAGTTTGAGAAGAATAGGTATTATTCTTTAAATGTTTGGCAGAATTTGCTTGTGAAACTATCTGGTCTTAGAGTTTTGTTGGGAGTTTTTAAATTATTGATTCAATTTCATGCTGGTAATTGGTCTGTTCAAATTTTCTATTTCTTCTTGGTTCAGTTT